GTAAACGCAAGGTTGAGAAGAAGTATTTACCACCGGCTAGCTACACATTGTCAAGGGTAGAAAAGTGGATGTTTTGTGAATGTCTTTACGACATTAAGGTTCATCTGGGTACGCATCTAACATGAAAAGATTTGTATCCTTAAGTGGAGAACTGAAGCTGTCGAGTATGAAATCCCATGATTGTCACATGTTAATGAAAGTATTACTACCGATTGCAATACGTGGTATTTTACCGAAGCACGTGAGGGAAGCTATTACAAGCCTATGTTCGTTTTTCAATACAATATGCAGCAAAGTGCTTGATCCTTGTACACTTGATGCTTTGCAAACGGATGTGGTTGTGACTTTGTGCAAATTTGAGATGTATTTCCCACCCTCATTTTTTGACACAATGGTGCATCTCATTCTTCATTTGGTGCGTGAGATTAAGTTGTGCGGTCCAGTTTTCTTGAGGTGGTGCTATCCTTTTGAAAGACACATGGGCACATTGCAAGATAAAGTAAGGAATCCGGCTCATCCGGAAGGAAGCATGATTCAAGGGACCGTGAGTGAGGAGATTGGTAATTTTGTGGCCGACTATTTAGCCGTTGCTGAACCTATTGGTCTTCCTGCTTCTCGACATGAAGGGAGACTGGATGGTCATGGCACAATTGGGTCGAAATGAATGTCACCGGATCGAGATCAGTTCTTACAAGCACACATTTATGTGTTGCACCATGTTGCAGATGTTCACCCATATTTAGATGAGCAGATGGCTAGTTTGCGTGATGAATTTCCATCAAAAGGTGAAAGGGCACTAATACAGTTGCATAATAAGAGGTTTGTGAGTTGGTTTAGTGAACGAGTGATGAGTCGCTTGGATGATAGTGTCACCGATACAGTAAGGTAGCTTGCTTATAGTCCTAGGGATGATGTTCGCTCATTTGAGGGATATGACATCAATGGGTACACTTTTTGGATAGAGGGTCGGGATTTGAAATCTTTGTCGACCCAAAACAGTGGAGTAACGCTTGTGGCATCGTCAAGGGAGTTTGCAAGTGCCAAGGATAAATCACCTATCGATGCAAAATTGTCATACTACGGTCGAATTCAAGAAATATGGGAGCTTGATTATTGTAACTTCACAGTTGCTCTTTTCAAATGTAAGTGGGTTGATAATATCAGACGTAATGTCAAGTATGATGACTTTACTCTTGTAGATCTTGGGCACTTGAATGATAGTGCGGAACCGTTCATCCTAGCATCTCAAGCTAAGCAAGTGTTCTATGTAACTGACCCAGTCGATTCAAAATGGTCCATTGTGCTAGCTGGGAAAAGAAGAATCCTAGGCATTGGAGATGTTGAAGATGAGGAAGAATACGATGCGTTTGATGATTCAACACCTTTCACTGTTCCTAGACCTATTGCATCAAATGACATAGACGACCAGACATGTTATATGCGGTCAGACCACAACGAAGGAATATTAGAATGAGGTACTCTAACAGTTAATTTGAAATTGTAAGCAATTAAAAGTATTATTAAATTTAATCAGAAGTTAGGTAATTTTATGAATAGTTTTGGGGAAAATGAATGATATTGTTATCTTAGTTGCTAAATTTTCACAAATTCTTATTAATGAATGAAGTATATCTCAAAATTGACATATTATGATAGAATTTAATTTTTTTTAGTGTTAACGGTACTAGAAAATAACAAGTTACGTCAAAATGCATCACAAATGATAGAATTTAATATTTTATATGCTAACATGTATTATTATGACCTATATGTCAACATTTTTATCTCTTATGGACCTAATATCGTGTTATGTTTGTAATGACAGGTGTTTATAACTTATGGAGGACGATTATGATCCACTAGTAGAGGATTTGGAGGATGATTGTGATGACTATGAGGGTGAGGATGAGGACAAGGACGAGCCATATGATGTCAACAAGGAGACTGATTTGGGTGAGCCAGAAGATCAGGAACAAGATGCTTTTGAGCGCAGGCTTGATGAATTTGAAATTTCAGCTGAATGTGCGCCTCCTATTGATTCTACAATTGTTGAGATTGTTGGTGAGAACACTACTCCTCAAACTCAAAGCCAAGGACATGAGCAATTGAACACATGTGGTGGAGTGGGGGTAAAGGCACCAGTTATGAGAAAGGGTAGGGGTCCGACACCAAGTTTTAAGAAGCCAACCGGTCCCATGGTGCTGGAGTATGACAAAAGAGGCCGACCTATTGGCCAATGGATTCGGAAATATGCAAACCAAGTTGGCATATGTTCGCGCAAAATCCCCATTACACTTTGTTGGCGGCAAGTACCTCTAGGCTTGATTCAAACATTTTGGGATGATATTAAGGAAAGTATTTTGTTCAAATGAACATTTACACAATTACAAATAATTTCACCTAATGGTTGTTTGTAAATGGAAAATAATAATTGCTTGTATTTGTGATTGCAGAAGCTGTTTAATATTCCTAATGATCCCGAGAAGAGAAGGGTGTTTGATTCTTTACTAGTGGAGAGATTCAGAGGCTTCAAGACCCACTTGACAAGTGGATGGATCTTTAAGAAGAAGAAACACAATAAGATAGCTTCCAAGGGGAATGATGGTGAAGGTGGAAATGAGAAAGATGTTGAGGAACAAGACCCACCGTGGAAAAAATGGCCAAGCGTGACGGAGGACGAGTGGAAAGACTTTGTTATTCAAAAAACTCGACCCAAAGCAATTGTAAGAACTACTAAATCTAATGAGAATTGTATAATATATTGACTCTTTTTGCAGTAATGATGCTAACATTTCTATTTATGTAGGAACTCCGAGAGCAAAACTAGGAAAATACGTTGTAGAAGGAGTATCACTATCGTACGGGGGCCAAGACATTTGGTGAATGGAGGCAAACTTGGAAGAAGGAGGGTATATACCCCACTTTGAATCAAGGGTCATCCGAAGAACCCTCCAACTCCACGATCACTATGTTGGTTAGTCGCGCTGGCGATTTCATTTGTTCTCTACATTCCTTTGATAAGGACACCGGAAAATGGGTCATCAAGGAACCGGAAAAAAAAGTGGCTAATAAACTTGTAAGCTATTTGAAACTTTAGCATAACTTTACCATACAAAAACATTATATGTATCCATGTTAACATTTTTTCTTATGCTACAGCTTGAGTACACTACAGAAGTTGTTGAAGGCAAGCTGGTCCCGACTATAGAGAAAGACCCTTTCACCTTGGCTTTGGGAAAGCCCTACCATCCACGCCGAGTAGTAGGTATGGGAGGGACGTTGCTAGGATGGGAGAAGGTGATGCGTTCAGAATACACAAAAATGGGAAGATCTCGAGCAAGTGTTAACTCACCGGAAGAATTGGATGCCAAAGTTGCATCCATCAAGGAACAAGTTCGCAATGAGTTAATAGGTGAATTCAATGCTTGGGCGAAGCAAATGAACTTAACCTTGTCGTTCCCCCCGACTACACCGGTCAAATCAAGTAGTCACCCAAAAGGACAAGGAGAAGATGAGAGACATGGAGAAGAGGAGATACATGAGGTAGTTTTCTATCTATTAGTTTTGGCCTAGTGAGTTACTGAGATCTAATGTGGCATTATTGATTAATTATTGCAGGTTGTTACTCCCACACATGCGGACTTGAGGGAGGTTGATAATCCAACACCCCATGAATTTCCAGATTTAGAGGTGAATTTAGGATTCGAGGGAGCGTGTTTGGTTTTAATATAGTGAATTTCGTTACATGATCAATTGTGTAGGAAAATACCCTTTTTGATAATTTCTGTTTTTACAAGTGAATTTCGTTACTGGTGTAGATAGAGACCAAGTGTACACTTTTAGCCCCGGGGCTATCAAATGGAGGAGAGTTGCAGTTTGTGGCGTATGGTAGTGCACAAGCGACGACCGGTGATACGGTCCTTTTCCAATCGCTTAGGCCACAACATTACTCGGTCGGGATCAATTCTTACATTGCTGGGTTCGAAAAGATCCTATTATCGGTGCGTATAGTGGATGATGGGATTACTCTTCTTTGGGAAGCAAAAGGTAGCTATGTGCAATGGCCACGTGCTTGGGTAAGGTTGATCAACGAGGTAATATTTTTTTGATGTTGTGCAAAATAACAAATCTGCATGCGTACTTACTAGCTTAACCCCCGGCCAACAATTTTTGAACTCTAATTATCTTTGTTTGATCAGATTTCGAAAAAAAGGCAACCATCAAGAGAAGGAAGGTGGAGAAGCCTAAAAGCGTTGATTAACCTACAAAGAAGGTGAGTGAACAAGGGTCGAAGAGTGAACAAGTGTCGAAAAAGAATTATTCGAAAGGTTCAGCCATGCAACCTACTCCACTTGTTGGAGACAATGTCCTTCAATAGCTCACTAAGGATTTAACTTTTCTACACAATCGTTTTAGTCATTTGCCTAGTGACGATCCCATTGAAATTGCACTTCCTAAGGCAATGTTCCATTATGATGAGGATGCAAGTGCACGGTTAAACAAACAAGATGGGAAGGAATTTTTAAGAGGTTCAATGCTTAACATTTCTCTCATTCAAATATTCATGAGGTACGGGCACATGCCACTTAAATTAATTATGTTATTCATATTAATGTTGTTTATCCTTCATATATATGTCAATTAATTTTTCATTGTCCATGCACGCAAAGCACTACGGGAGCACTTAAGTGACACTGATTCCCCTAGTAAAGTTGGGTGGTTATGCCCCGAACAGACATCCGAGACTGGAATCTTACACAACTCCCCCTAGGTGATGTATTATGTTAATCATAGTATTAGGGAATCAATACGTGCGGGAGACAAGTTCATATTCGCCCCATATTATAAGGAGTACGTTTAACCATGTGTAATTCAATTCTTTCTACATTTTAATTATATGTTGTACCCTAATTATTGATTTGTTTGTGTATTGTGAATTTATTTAGGTTTCATTAGTTCCTCATGGTGATTTGTCCTGCTAATAACTCAATCTTTCACTTTGATTCAGCTCGATCAACAAAGAAGTACCTCGTGATGTCTGTACTACAAAAGTAAATATAGCTACCTAGTGTTGATTATCTTAACCTAACTCATTTAGTAGTCAAAATAATCAAATTTGAATTTACTTTCCTATAGTAATATGAAGAAGATACATGGTCGTGCTCCACGGGGTCCTACATGGAAATCACCTATGGTAATGCCACATCATATTGTGATTGTCTTAATAAACATTGCTAAACAATTGTGGATTTTATGTGACGTTTGATTCATTTGATTTGTTCCTATGCTAGTTCCCACAACAAGATAATGGAGTTGATTGTGGATTATACGTGATGAGATTCATGCTTGACATAGCGACTCATTGTACCAACACCATACATCTTGATGAGGTACGACCTTAAACTTAGTAAAATGCTCTTTTTACGTGATTTCAAGGCTTAGCCACCTATAACTAAGTATAATTGACATGTAATGATAAAGAACATGGTCATTAGTTAAAAATGTAGAAAATGGGCAAGTAGAAGTCATTTAGGCCTTATTTAGGCTATTTAGGATGAAAATGCGACCTTAAACTTAGTAAAATGCTCTTTTTCTGTGATTTCAAGTCTTAGCCACCTATAACTAAGTATAATTGACATATTATGAAAAAAAACATGGTCATTAGTTAAAAAATGTAGAAAATGGGCAAGTAGAAGTCCTTTAGGCCTTATTTAGGCTATTTTGGATGAAAATGCGACCTTAAACTTAGTAAAATGCTCTTTTTTTGTGAATTCAAGGCTTAGCCACCTATAATATAAGTATAATTGACATATTATGAAAAATAACATGGTCATTAGTTAAAAATGTAGAAAATGGGCAAGTAGAAGTCATTTAGGCCTTATTTAGGCTATTTAGGATGAAAATGCGACCTTAAACTTAGTAAAATGATATTTTTCTTGTGATTTCAAGGCTTAGCCACCTATAACTAAGTACAATTGGCATTTTATGAGAAAGAACATGGTCATTAGTTTAAAAATGTAGAAAATGGGCAAGTAGAAGTCATTTAGGCCTTATTTAGGCTATTTTGGATGAAAATGCGACCTAAAACTTAGTAAAATGCTCTTTTTCTTTGATTTCAAGGATTAGCCACCTATAAATATGTATAATTGACATGTTATGAGAAAAAACATGTTCATTAGTTAAAAATGTAGAAAATGGGCAAGTAGAAGTCATTTAGGCTATTTAGGATGAAAATGCGACCATAAACTTAGTAAAATGCTCTTTTTCTGTGATTTCAAGGCTTAGCCACCTATAACTAAGTATAATTGACATTTTATGAGAAAGAACATGGTCATTAGTTTAAAAATGTAGAAAATGGGCAAGTAGAAGTCATTTAGGTCATATTTAGGCTATTTAGGATGAAAATGCGTCCTTAAACTTAGTAAAATGCTCTTTTTCTTTGATTTCAAGGCTTAACCACCTATAACTAAGTATAATTGATATTTTATGAGAAAGAACATGGTCATTAGTTAAAAATTGTAGAAAATGGGCAAAGTAGAAGTCTTTTAGGCCTTCTTTTAGACCGTTTTGACCTAAGTATTTAATTTTTTACATATTTATTACTCACATGTTTAACTTAACTAATTTAATTTATTCTAACATAATTATATATATTTTTAGTTTTAAAAGGTGCAAAAGGGAGATCCATTAACAAGAAAGGACCTTAATGAAGTTCGAGACATGTTGGCATCTTTCATCACCTTCAATTTGTAAATGTCACATCATTTTGAATTTATACTTTGTTAATTATTAACTTTTAGACTACAATATTGACTTGTTAGTATTGTTTGTATCTATGTATATCACACTTTATTTGTTGTATTGCATTTGGTTTTTAATTATTAATGTCTAAATATATATTTTTAATTCTTGTTATGATTATTAATAATAATTATATTATGGCAGAATTTATAGCAATAATATGTCAGAATATTATAGCAGGATTAGTTGCAGGAATAATTGCAGGCAAAACGGAAAAAAATAAGAAAAAAAAATTACATCCCTATTATTGCCACCGGTTAACCGGTTCAAAACCGGTGGCAAAAGTCAGTTTTCCAATCGAAAAAAGCGCGCATTTACATTGCCACCGGTTAACCGGTGGCCATAATTATTATTACCACCGGTTAACCGGTGGAAATAAGGCTTTTTGCCACTGGTTTTGAACCGGTGGCCTTGCGTGGCTTTATTGCCACTCTCAAATGACCACCGGTTCAAAACCGGTGGCAATAGGGGGGTTTCAACCGGTGGCCATTACATATTTTCTCCTAGTGTGCCCCGAGCAGTTATCCACTACTAGAATCATAGGCAACCTTCATGACGTATTGTACTATGTTGAGCTAAGTATCAGGGGATCAGCGCGTGCGAGAGGCAAGTTCATATTCGCCCCGTGTTATAAAGAGTAAGTCTAACCATGTCAAATTCAACTGATTTGGCCTCATTATATGTTGACTCCTAAATATTAATTTTCTTGTCTATTGTAAACTTATGTAGAGAGCATTGGAGCCTCATGGTGATTTTTAATTCCAATAACACAATTTATCACCTTGATTCAGCTCGATCACCGGAGAAGTGGCTCGTGAAGTCTATATTGCAAAAGTAAATATATATAGCTACCTAGTGATGATTATTGATAATAATAACTAATTTAGTAGTCATACAACTAATCAAATTTGAATGTACTTTATTTACTATAGTGTTATGAAGAAGTTACATTGTCGTGCTCCAAAGGGTCCAACACGGAAGTCACCGTTGGTAATTTACATGATATTGTGATTATCTTCAAAATCTATGTTAGTAAATATTTGCTAATTTCCTTTGCAGGTTTCACTGATGTGATTTTTTTGTCATATGCTAGTGCGCACAACAAGAAAATGGACTTAATTGTGCTTTGTATGTGATGAGATTCATGCTTGACATTGTGACTCAATGTACGAACACTCAACAGCTTGATGAGGTAAGTCCTAAAACTTAATGAAATGCTATATTGATGTGATTTCTAGCCTTAGACACCTAATATTACCCAACATTGACATGTTATGAGAAATGAAAAGGTCATTTGACAAGAAAGGTAAAAAAATGGGCTTAATAGAAGTCATATGGGCCATATTTGGGCCATTTTGTGTTAATATGCTATTTTGATGTGATTTCTTTCCTTATACACCTATAACTAGATAATATTGACATGTTATGAGATAAATAAAGTTCATTTAATAAGAAATGTAGGAAATGGGCAAAGTAAAGTCATATAGGCCATATTTGGGCCATTTTGAGTAAAAAGTGTCTTAAACCTTGATAAAATGTTTTTTGATTCAATTTTAGGGCTCAGACACATAAAACTAGGTGACATTGACATGTTATGAGAAAGAAATAGTTCATTTGATAAGAAATGTAGGAAATGGGCTAAATAGAAGTGATATAGGTCATATTTGATAAAATACATATTATTTTGCCTAATTAATTAATTCTAACATAATTTTTGGCAATATAAATCCTTATCCTAAAAGGCTTCCGCTCCTTGTATTTCAAGTTTTGCAAGGTCCAAAAGGATGTTCTGTTGACAATCAAGGAGCTTAATGAAGTTCGTGACATGTTCGCGTCTTTTATCACCTTCAACATGTAAATGGCAATTTAATTGTAAATTTATGATAACTTTTGAACTATATTATTATTCATTATTTACTTACTATCATTTGTATATATATATAACACTTTTTTTTTATTGTATTGCGTTTGGGAATATTTATATCTATATATATATATGAATTCTTGTTTTTAATATTATTTGTATCTTATTATAATATTTAATAATAATATTATTATTAGTAATTATAATAATAATATTATTAATTATTTTATTTTATATTATTGCTGGAATTACAGGTTATTATTATTACTGGAAACAGGGTGTTTTTTTTTTAAAAAATATTATTGCACGAAAAATGGAAAAAAAAGTATTGAGTGAAAAGGCACCGGTTAACCAGTGCCAAAACCGATTTAGGGCACCGGTGCTAAAAAGGGGGGTAATTGGCACCCCTCATTGAAAGCGGTTCAAACTGGTGCCTTAGACCGGGTTTGAACCGCTGCCAATTGCTCTTTTTCTACTAGTGTTAGGAGTCTTTTTGTAGGTCGAAAGAAGCACGATGCACCGCTCCTCTATCCATTCCACTCCATGTAGAGCTGTTTTAATCAAGTCCACCCTCTCCTCTATCCCATCCCAATCCATGTAGAGCTGTTTTAATCAAGTCCACCCTCTCCTCTATCCCATCCTACTACATGTAGACTATCATGCCTAAAACCCTGACTAGCCAAATTGATCAGATTTTTTCCAATTTCTTCTGAGGAACAACTCCTGAAACCAAAAAGATTCGTCTTATTGCTTGGGATAAGGTCTGCTTCTCTAGAAGTAGAGGGGGTTTGAACTTCAGATTGTCTCCCCTCGAAAACAGAGTCTCGACGGCTAGGTTTTGTTGGAGACTCCAAAATGCCAACAACCTATGTACTACCTTGATTAGTGAGAAGTACTTCCATAGACCCATACTAACCCCCTAACAAAGGCTCTCACAAATTGCATGATTCTGGGAAAGTTTGGGACATCCTAACCCACTTCTCCCAATGGGCTATTGGTAAAGGAGACCAATACAATTTCTAGCTTCACAACTGGACTAGGTTGGGGAATCTCAAATCAAAAATTTTTGGTCCTATCCAAAAGGATGAGGAGGATAGGCTAGTCCAATCCATCATCATCAATGGCAGAGTGGACATATCCTCTGATTGCTTTTCTATTCTCCCCCCCTAAGATTACCACTTTCATGTCTTGCATTACTCTCCCATGTCATGGAGAAGACTTAAAATTCTCTTCTCTTAGGAAAGGAGGCTAATTTGATAGCCAGGCTGCTTATAACCATCTTTGGGACATCACACACAATCAAAACAGGCACAACCCCTTCAACACCACCATATAGGACCTCCAAATCCCCCTCCTTCTAAATATTTCTTGTGGTTATGCCTTTGGGGTAGACTTCCTACTGCGGGACACCTCAACTATAGGAACATTATACACTCACACTTCTGTTGCTTTTACCCTTCTGCAAAAGAATCTGCCATGCACATTTTTAGAGAATATCTTGGAGCTTTTGAGGTTTGGAACATTATAAAACCCCTAACTGTGACTCACAACTTAAACCCTAGGGAGTGGTGGGAGGAAAACCTCTAAATCACTACTATCCACCCTTCATTTAGCCTCCCATGGAGAGAATGTTTTGCCTTCATCACTTGGAGAATGTGGTTGAGAAGAAATGACTGGATCTTCAACAAAAAATCCATTCCCCCTAATAAATGGGTGGCTTCTTTGACCCATCTAATATCTG